CTAGGAGACATTATCTTTCGCATTCTGTCAGGCGAAGAGAAGAGGAAAGTAAAGAAGGAAGTTTTTAAAATACAAAAAGAAAAAAAAACCGCAGCAGAACAAACAATTTCGCAAGTGTTGAAGCTTACGTATGCGGGCACAAAGGGGAGATTCCGAGGGGACACACAATTAACCTCTCCAACCTTCAAGCGCAATTGCACCCCACTAATAAATAAGTGAACAGCTGCATTTCAGCCTGGACCGTGAACCTGCTAGACGGCCAACGATTTTTGTAGTCTTTGTTGTTTTTTGTTGTTGTTTTTTCTTCTTTTTCGTTAAACACCAAAAAAGGAGGAAAAAAAAGTATAAAGAACGTAGACGTTCGGATACGGTTCAGTCTGAATGTGTTAATGTGAGGTTTGATGTGGAATGGTGTGGAGGAATTGAGTGGGCAGTGACCGTGTACATGTGTGTGTGTGTGTGTGTGTGTGTGTGTGTGTGTGTGTGTGTGTGTGTGTGTGTGTGTGTGTGTGCGCGCGCGTCAGTGTGAGATAGAGAAAAATAGAGAAACAGAAAAAGAGAGACAAGAGAGAGAGAGAGAGAGAGAGAGAGAGAGAGAGAGAGAGAGAGAGAGAGAGAGAGAGAGAGAGAGAGAACGAGATAAAGAGAGAAAAAGGGTTTGGCAGACAGATAGATATAGATAGATTCTAGATATCATTCAAATTATAACAGCACACGAACAGGAGTGAAAATAAGGGGGTGGGGTGAGGGAGGGAGAGTGAGATAGCATGCCTTTAGTAAAACGAACATTCATATTATGCTCTGCTACTTTTTAAGCTTTTTCCAAATTCACTTCATCTGTGAGATGTGCACATTGTACAAACATCAGTGTTACGGCTAAGTTGTACCAACTACGCTGCATTTACGACTTAGTAAACGCATCGAAAGCGAATAGATTTCCAGTATTATTTCCTTCGAACAAACCAAAAGTACTACAAAATATGTGTTACGCCTTCTCGATATTAAACAATGTATTCTAGCCCTCGATCTACATCGCTTTTCACGCAACTGTAGTAGACCCGTAGGCCCAGAGCAACCTACTTAGAGAACCTGAACAGACGGTGACGGGGAAAGATCGGGGTATTGTAGCTTTTTTTTTAAAGAGTAAGAGCATCCGAGCAAAGGTATGAATGGAGAACCAAGATCACCCATGTCTATAGTAGATATGGAACTTGATGATGATGATGATGATGATGATGATGATGATGATGATGATGATGATGATGATGATGATGATGATGATGATGATGATAATAATCGTTTCTCCTTCTTTTCTTCACTTCAGTGAAGTGGTATCCGATCCAACAGGAAGAGCTTGTTTGTTTTCAAAATAAGAAAGTACGTCCCATGACCATTCCTGGTGCTCATTATATCATTTTAAGCAGCTTACTAAGCGGCTTTCAGGACTTGCCAAATGGACAAGGTTTCTGTGTTAGTAGGTTTGAGACGTCCATCTATTTATGGAGGAGTCTGTATTAAGTATGCTTCCTTTCTCAAACACTGAAACCTTCCAAAAGATAATGACGGAACTGCAAATAAATCTGAAAGTACTCGAAGTCTCTAATCTTCATGCCCTTCCATACATACATACATACTTCTGTTTGTTTGTTTGTTTTGTTAGTTAGTTAGTTTTATTTTTTCAATGTTTGTACTTTAGAACATTTTGGAGGCGGATTTTAGCCCTACCTGTACTGTTAAGGCCACTCCATGCTGAAAGCAATATAACATCCCCGCAGAAAAACGGAAAAACTCAATAAGAATTCTCCCAACTTGAAAATCGAAGTCTAGTCTCCTACCAGCGGGCCACATGAATTGCCTAACCGCTACACTATAGACGCTGGTCTGTATTCATTTCCTACATAACAAAAGGTAGAAGGTACAATGGCTGGATAAACTTGCTTTATCACACCATGGCGGGTATGGAATCAGAACCGTACACATTTCATGCTGAGATGAAAGCGTATAAAAAGTTAATACCTTATGTTGCCACAAAATCGTAACCGCATGAATCTGAATGATTTTGGGTATTGCCAAATTTGGTTTTGTTTTCTTTTTAGTATTAGGGTAAGTTTTACGGTATTTCCAACACAATAAGATCAAAGGAATACCGATGACTAGAGGTGCTATTAGACAATAACAAGCAAAGAAAAGAAAAAGAATTATACAAGATACAGGTAAAGGGAATGTTATTAAGTTTGATAGAAAAGTAGCAGCAAACTACACCAGAGCTCCCATGAACTACGTAACTCTTTTTAAAAAGTTATTTTGTAGAAAATATCAGCCGATGTGTGAGATATGTTTGTTTGTTGTTTGTTTGTTTTTTCATTTTCTCCCCCAGAGGGTGAACTAGAATACTGTTGTGAACAAGACCAACTTGTTATTTCGCGCGCTCATATGACTTTATGCAGTTGCGAGCGCCGTAAAACCCTATACTACTAACTAACTAGAATAGGTCAAACAA